CGCAGTGCAGGCCGATGGGCCCGGGCCGGACCTCCCCGCGCAGGCGGGCGGTGCTGCGACCCCCACGCGGGCCCGGCCCGGGCCGGACGAACTGCCGCCGAGCCCCGGGGTGTCGGGTGCTTGGGGCCGCCTTTGCTGGGCCGGTTGACTTACCCTTAAAAAGACAGGACGAAGGTTGAAAGCACTCCTCTCGGTTCCTCCCCATTGGGCAAAATGGCGAAGGGGAAGCAAACCCCCAAAGCACCTGAACCAGCCCCCCAAAAGCCTCCCGTGTGCGAGCGGCCCGTGTGTCCTCGCTTTCGCCTTGGAATTTGCCTACTTCTCCCCGCTGCGCCCTATTTTGGTTCCTTGCGATCACGTAGGTTTGCAAAAAGCAGTCACATCAAATAACCTTTTCAAGAGCCCCCACCGCAGTGTGATCACCAGGCCACCCCAACTCGTTTGTTTCTTTTTTATTAACGACGACAATAAAACACGTCTGGTTTTGCCCGGTCCCCAACGCCGCAGAGCCGCCCGACCCCGTACCGTTGGCGACTCGGGGCGATCCATCATGGCTGCGGCCGCTTAGCCTGCTTTTCTGAGCCCGAGCCTTGTGGTCCTCCTCCCTTTGGCTGCCCTGTTTATATAGAGCCATTGCCGCTCTCTAATATAGACTCTGCCAGGATGGGAAGGTGCTTTTCAGGCCTACGTCACCGCCTCTCCATTTAAACTCCAGATCCGGCTTTAAATAGTGAGAGCTGCTGAGCGCGGGGCTGGGAGGTGAGTGCTCCGGAGGCGAGAGACGGCCGCGTGCCGGGCTCCGTGCACGGCTAGTCCCCTTCCCGGGACCCTCGCTTCCCTCCCGGGGGGCCGCTTTCACGGACACGAGTTTCTGTTTTGCTGTAGTGGGAGGGATTTGCCGCCTTTGTCAGGGGAAATAGACCCGAATTGCCTCTTCCTTTCGATTTTTTTTTTTAAATTTTAACATCCTTTTAGGTTAGATGGGTTGATAGTTCTCTCGCCCCCCCCCCCCCATAGAAGATGTTTGCATCTTTCTCGGCTTTAAAAAAAAATGCATTCTACATTAGATGTTACCCCCAGGGGACTTTGGATTTAGTAGTATTTTATTCAAGTATTCAAGAAATGTTACAAATACAGCTCCTAATTTCATTGTGTTTTCTGATAATAAATAACCTAGGCATGATGCGTTTTCAGATAGTCGCCGAAGCTTCCCTATGGGGTCTGAGGCCCACAGTACATTAATATGTAGAATCTCGAGTGATGATGAAAAAGGGTAGACCAGAGTGGATTTTAAGAAATTACAATTCTTAACGTGGTAGTTTTTATTGTGTTGGGGAGTATCAAAAATCCACGCAGCTAACTCTCAAACGTTGCATCAGAGAACTAGTGTTTTTTAAAAGGAACCTTTTAATTAATAACTTGACAATGCCACCCCTTGACCCTCTGATTTACCAGTTCCTAAATTTGGGATGTTGTTTTTTGAAAAGACAAATCTAAATTACTTAATATACAATAAAAGATAGAAACTGTGGTTCATGAAGTTTAGAATTTTAGGCAAATAATTAGGAACTATTTCAGATGTACTTTTTAAAAAGTAGTTATTTGAAGGCATTTCAAATTGTGAAGGATTCTGCTAAATTCTGCATGTGCTTTGTAAAAGTAACAATTCTCTTCCTCCTTCAAGCATAGTGCTTCAGAGTTGGTTAAGTTGAGGATACATTAAAACATGATTGATTAATGGATAAATAGTAGTAACAAAAAAACCAGATTTGAACTTAAGTGTCAGAATCTCGGAACAGTTTTGGGGTAACTCATTTCAGAAACATCCAAACAACTTCTAGTTGGTTGGCTGGGAAAAAAAGTGTTAATTTGAGATCTGTCCTACCAATTTAAAATCATGTTGCCTACATAGAATGTGATAGATAGTTTGAAAGTACAGACAAGGGCAGGAAAAAAGGTGAGGTGAATTTTTAAAAAATTGAATACTCATTAAGCTGCTGTTCATTACCAAGCAGGTGACTATTGACAAAAAAATCCCCCAACTCTAAGAATTAGTGGCAAGGTTACGCACTACAACAGGGATTAATCCAAGCATGGAATAATAGGAACTAGACATAAATAATAGTAAAACTGTGATTAAGTATCATGCTAGATATTTTGACTACAATCTACAAAATTATAACCAGAAATTGTATGGACCTTGTATTCATAAAGAACTTTTGTTTATGAATTGCTTTACAGTCTTAATACTTTAATATATAGCCATGGAATCTAGTTCAACAGGGACAAATGATGTATATTAGGATGGCCATATCTTTAAAGAAGTGTTAGATGGTTGGCAAGGAGGACTGTTGTAGTTTTTGTTTGAATTTCTGAAAATCTGGTACACTTGAAAGTCTTATCAAGTCTCTCTTTTCCTTTAAAGCCTAAATTATATAGGTCTGTGATTGAAGATGTCATTAATGATGTACGAGACATCTTTCTGGATGATGGAGTGGATGAACAAGTCCTGATGGAACTGAAAACTGTGAGTGTGTCTTTTTAAATATTCATTACCCTCCCCCAAGAAAAACATTCCTCCTTTGCCTTTAGTGAACAGTGAATTTTATTTTTCTACAGAATGAATGTTTATTTAAGGAGACTAGTTAAGGGTATTGATTTTAAACCTCAACTGTACTGTCCATTCTTCCTCTGACCTTAGGCAGATAACTCATAATTCATCTGGTTTCCCTGTGAGATAGGAATTGGTGGTACAAACTTACCTGTATTCTAATATTTTGAGTCAAATCCTTGTGTGGACTACATGGTATGTTTAATATACATTGAGCTAGTTTTCTCTTAGATAGATGCAGAAATATTTAGCATTTTAAATTAGCATTTGTGTTTTCCTGACAGTTTAATGACATGAAATTGTGGAGTGTTTTGTTAATGGTTGATTAGAATAGTGGTTCCTAAAGTATGGTTTGGATTAGGTTTTTCCACAGATTGACAAAGTACCCAAGTATGAAAAATACAATGTATCTTTTCAGTTAAAAGTTGTGTCCTGTGAGGCTGGAGAGTTGGCTTATTGAGTAAGAAAGAGAGTGCTTGCTGTGAAAACAAGCAAATCCTGAGTTCAAATCCACAAAACCACATAGAAGCCAGGCATGGCCGAATATTCTTGTCATCCTAGTGTTTGGGAGGCAGGGACATGTGGGTCCCTGGAGCTCCCTGGCCGACCTAACTGAAATTAAGAGCTCCAGGTTCAGTGAGAGACATCCCACATCCTTACACCCCCACCTAAAAAAGATGAGGGCAATAGAGGAAGATCCCTAACATCCTTCTAGGTTCTATGTGCTCATGCCTGCACACACCTGCATCCAAAACTTGTCCTGGGAAAAGTGACCAGCTCAACTCATAACTCAGTGCACAGTACTTAAAAGTACTTTTCTGTTCATGCGTAGCAGAATTGATTCATGCGTATTTCCTAGTCTGATGAATATTTTTTTAAAAGATGTGTACTTGGTGTTAAGAAATCTGAAATAAAATGTTGATTTACTTGATGTTGCATAATGAAATTGATAACATTTCAAAGATGTATAATGAATTGAACTTCATGCATAATGTTAGAAGATCCATTCAAAGTACAAGGTATTTTAATAGATTTTACTCTTAACAGATATGCAAACTTTGTTGGTGATGGCTTGTGATTCTTTATAACTGAACATTTAAAAAAATTATTATTTATTTATTTATTTTGAGACAGGGTCTCCCTGTTGCCCCATCTGGCCTGGAAATCACTGTGTAGACCAGGCTGGCCTTGAACTCACAGAGATCCATCTGCCTTTGTCTCCAGAGTGCTGGGATTAAAGGCATGCGCCACCAGCCTTTTTGTTTGTTTATTATTTTTTATGTGCATGTGAGTATTGCCTGCATGTAAGTAAGTGCGCCTGTGTCATGCAATGCCTGAGGAGGCCAGAAGACTGTTGGATCCCCTGGAACTGGAATTTAGGACAGTTGTTAGCCACCATGTGTGTGCTGGGTCCTCTGTAAGAGCAGCCAGTGCTGTCAACTGCTGAGCCATCTCTCCAGCCCCCTGAACCTTTTTTTTTTCTAACTTAGATTTTATTTTTTATTTTCATTATTTTTTGTGTATGAGTATATTGTCTGCTTGTATATAAGTGCACCCATGTTATGCAGTGCCCATGGAGGCCAGAAGAGGGTGTTGGATTCCCTGGAGCTGGAGTTAAAGACCTTTGTTAACTACCATGTGGTTCCTGTAAACCAAACCCTGGTCCTCTGTAAGAGCAGCCAGTGCTGTTTACCACTATGCCATCTCTCCAGCCCCTTGTAGTTATTCTTGAAAAGAGATAAGTGGAACAGAGGATTGATGCTACAAAGTTGACCTTGACCTCCACATGCATGGTGTGGCATGTGTAGCACCCTCCTCCACATCATACACAAAATAATAAATTGTTTTTTTTTTGGCTTTTTTTTTTTTTTGAGAAAGCATCTCCCTGTAGTCCCAGCTGTCCTGGAACTTACTATGTAGACCAGGCTGGCCTTGAACTCCCCAGTGCTGGCATTAAAGGCATGCACCACCACGCCTGGCAAAATAATGTTTTTGAAAAGAGATAAATGGCCCTGAGATAAAGTTAGTTTGGAAACTGGGTAAGAACTCCTTTAGAGCTGTGTACAAATAATCACAGCTAATCAATGGTTAAGGGACATTTTTTTGTCCTATCCATTCAGGTGTCAAAGCTGGAATTTAGCATTTCATTTTAAATAAAACAAGTCTGATCTTTATTTTAGTGATAGAATATATCTACTTTGTTTAAGCATCGGTGGGCAACTTCTATAGAGTATCCAGTAAGAATCTGTAGTGTGAGAAAGGAGAAAAATAAGTTGTATGTGAGATGAGTAAATACTTATCCAGAGAGAAGTGTAAGGGGAAGTAACGCTGAGGTAGTTGTCCGAGGATCCAAGTGTTAGAAGGTGTACTCGGAAACATGGGTTAGAGCAGTCTGCTGTATCTCTGGTGTATGAATAATAAGGTGACAAGCTTACCTTAATTCCTTTGTATTTCCTGAAGGATGTTTTACAGTCTGCACTCATAACACTGGTTGTCCTTCTTCTTTGACCTTATACAGAAAACACAACTTCCGTAGGTCTAGGAAATCAGTCTTAAAGATTTGCAGTTAGTTTACTTAGGTCAGAGTAGGGGTCAATCTCGGTTCTTTATTACTTGCTCTTGCTTTGCACATTGAAAGTCTGGAGAACTGTTTTCCTACTGGTCTCAGTAGCTACAAGATACTGCCCAGAGAAAGTGAGTTGTCTTGGAAAAATCAAGTATTCTCTTTGTTTATTACATTTGACTTTTTAAGTATATATAGATACCCTAATTCATGCAAGTGATACTGAGCTAATGGTTAGGTTCTAATGATAAAAAGTATGTCTTAGTCAACTTTGAATCCTCCGCTCCTACCATGATGCCTGGCACTCAATGAATATATAGCTGAACTGGTTAATCACAAATGTGACTCCAGAATCTTAACTGAACAGTGCAATAATATATTTGTTAAGTGGGGTATACTCTTTTATCTTGAGTTGTAGTAAGAATTAAAAATAAAACAGACTAGAGTGAGCTTAATTCTGTGTACTAAATCTCCCCAGAATCTCATTAAAATTTCCAGAATGTGCCCTAGATTTAACAGTTGGACACCTAGCACTGTCCAGGGGGATTTTTCTGCAGCGATGGAAATGTTCTGTACTTGTGATCTACCATATGGTAGTCATTAGCCACATGAGGCTGTTAAGCATTTGGAATGTGATTAGAGGAACTAAGGAATGAATTGCTACTAATTTTAGCTAATTTAAATTTTGATCACCTCTTAATAGCTATTGACTACCACATTGGACTGCACAGATACATTCTTATTAATAAGATTGACATTATCAATAAGGTTAGCATTCATTGTATTTATTTTTTAATATTACTTTTGTTTTATGTGAGTGTATTGCCTACATCTATGTAAGTGCACCCATGTTGTGCAGTGCCTGTAGAGGTCAGAAGAGAGCATTAAATTCCCCTGGAACTGGACTTCCAGATGGTTGTTAGCTGCCTTGTGGATGCTGGGAACTTGAACCCTGGTACTCTGCAAGAGTAGTCAGTGCTCCTAACCACTGAGCCATCTCTCCAGTCCCAGTACTCGTTTTACATTTGATGATACATAATGAACTTTGTCATTTAGCTCTAGCCCCTCCCCTTTCGACCATTTCAATTTCAGACTTAATCAGAAAGTTGCTAAGGGTGTCAAGAGCATGGTGAATTAGATTATGAACGGAAATGTATGGTGAGGATGCCTGTAATTTAAAGGTTAACTAGATACTGTAGGAAGTGCAATGATTAAAAAGTAGCCCAATTGTTGAGGTCATTTCTGGAAATGTTACAAGCTCACCAATGTGTGAACTGTGGGAGATAGGGAAAATGTGAAATATAGTCAGTACATTTATGTTTGAGTGTAAAATGTTTTGGGATTGGTAAATGACTAGATGGGAAATGACACAGTAAAAGTCCTTTTCAAAGAGCATGATACGAAACTCGGGAGGGAAAAACAGGAGGATTGCCCACGGGTTTGAGGCCAACCTGGGCTACATGAGTTCCAGGTCAGTCAGGGCTACATAATGAGACTGTCTTAAAAAACAAAGGTCAACAAAAACAAAACAAAAAAATAAAAAAAAGTGAATGATGAAATCATTCTGTCCAATCTACCTGTATCCAAATAGCAAGGACCATGTGATATATAAACTGTGACCTTTTTTTTCCCTCACATTACTGGAGATTAAACCTAGAGCCTTGTACTCACTTGCTAGGCTAACACTTGTCCACTGAGCCACATCCTCAGCCCTTTGCCTCTCTCTTTAATAAAATGAGGATTCCTCAGTTAGAAATGAATTAGAATTTTAGGGTATATCTGCCTGTGGTTCTTCAACTTTGGTACTGTTGATATTTTGGATTGGTTGTTGTAAATAAGATGTTAGCAGAATAATTGAATTCTGCCCACTAGATGCCAGTAGCATCCTTTCAGTTGTGTTCAGTAATGTAGGCATTACTAAATCTCCATAGGGAAGTAGGGGCAAAATCACCCCAAGTTGAGGACCACTTTATTAAATGTATGCCAGTTATACATAGGTACTTAATAAACTAATATAAATACCTCAAGCATAAAATGAGTAACTTTCTGTTTCAAGCTGAGTTTCTCTTTAACTTTTTGTTTTGGAAGCTCTGAAATGGAATTAGTTAATGTTTATCCAGGAGCTAGATATTTTGTGGAATTAGAATCCTTCAGAATTTCTAGCCTAGCATACTTTCAAGGAATGGGGTTTGCATTTTATGGTTTGGAAAGTAAATTCAGATCATCTTTTAAATTTATGTTACGAGTTTTCTCTGTATGTATGTAAGTACACCACATGCCTGCAATGCCCACAGAGGCTGGAACTGGCATTAGAAACAGTTTTTAGCCAGTGTGGATGCTGAGAACCACACCT